CTACTCACCCGCCTCTTTTTGGAAGATGAGATTTGGAGACCTGTTCGCTTGTGTGTGTGTGTGGGGGGGGGGGGGGATAAAGCCCCGGGACCGGATGGTTTCACGTTGCGATTCTTTCAGAAAGCTTGGCATGTGGTAAAATACGACATTTGTAAGGCGCTGGACGAATTCTTTATTACGGGTTTTGTCCCCGACTCTGTGGCTCATTCCTTCATCTGTCTCGTCCCTAAAACGACGGCGGCGGAGGATGTGTGTGATTATCGCCCCATTAGTTTGATTGGGAGCTTGAACAAAATCATCTCCAAAGTCTTGTTCCATCGTCTTCAGCCTTTTATGGATCGGATCATCTCACGTCATCAGTTCTCGGGACTCCATAACAGGCAAATCCATGAAGCTGCCCTTGTAGCTAATGAATTGGTGGATGGTAGACTCAGAAGTGGACGCTCGGGGATTATTTTCAAGCTCGACATTGATAAGGCTTTCGACTCGGTTAATTGGAATTGTCTCTTTAAAGCCCTCTCCAATCTGGGTCTCGGCCAGCGCTTCTATAAATGGATTAAAGGAGTTGTCTGTCACTCGAAGCTTTCGGTCCTGGTTAGCGGTGAAGCTGGTGGCTATTTCAATATGCAGAAAGGTTTAAAACAGGGAGACTCTCTCTCTCCTTTTCTGTTCAGCCTGGCCATGGACATATTTTCTTTCATCTTTCAAGTATCTCACGACTCTGGGCTCATTGAGGGGTTCTACGTCGACGACGCGATAAGGACTGATGGCATGAATCATCTTCTTTATGCCGACGATGCTGTCGTCTTCTGTGATGCGACGGAAGATGCTGTGAATCATCTTGCTGGTGCCCTTATTTTGTTTCAATGTGTAACAGGGTTGAAGGTGAACTTTGGGAAAAGCTTCCTTTTTCCTGTCGGAGATGTTGACAACATTGATCGTCTCGCGGAGATTCTGGGCTGTGATTGGAAGCTTCTTCACACGGACTACCTTGGCCTGCCTCTTGGTGCAGCCCCGACTGCCTCTTCTGTTTGGAATAAAGTCATTGATAAAGTGCAAAGTCGTTTGGCGGGGTGGAAAGGGAAGCGCCTGTCTACGGCGGGAAGGGTCGTGCTCTATAACTCGGTGCTCGCAGCTCAGCCTAACTACATGTTCAGCTTGTTCAAAGCCCCTGCGTCTGTCATCAGCAGTATTGAGCGCCTCCTCAAGTCGTTTATTTGGTCAGGGATGGGAGAAGACAAGAAGTTTCACCTCGTGTCCTGGGACAAGTGTAAACTTCCCAAGCATCTTGGTGGTTTCACAGACCTGGGAATTAGAAATCAGGCCCTGCTTATTAAATGGTGGTGGAGGTACGCCGTGGAAAGAAATGCGTGGTGGAGGCAGTTGATCGCCCAAAAGTTTTCGAATCACTTTTCCCATTGGTCCGCTGGATCTCTTAGAGGTCGCATCGGCTGCAGCCCTTGGGCAGGCATCTTGAAACTGGGTTCTGAGTTCTGGAAGTTCAGCCACATTGATCCGGGATCTGGTCATTACACGTCTTTCTGGTTTGATATTTGGCTTAGTGATCGATCCCAGCCCTTGGCCCTGGAGTTCCCCCGAGTTGCCGCTTCATCAAATTGCCGCTTCACCAAATTGCCGCATTGCTGACCTGTGGAGCTTGAGTGAGGGAAGTTCTTCTTGGTCTATTCCTATTTCTCATTCTCTTAGGGGAGGGGCTGAGGTTGAGAGAGTCAGTCTGTTGAACTTACTTAATAACGTATCATTCTCGAGTCTTGTTGCAGGTCCCTCTAGAATTGTTTGGGAGCTCACGCAGAATGGTGGGTTCAGCTCCCACTCTTATTATTCGGAGCTGGTCAAGGGCAGCAACCTTGCGGACCAGGACTTCCCCTTCAAGATCGTTTGGTGTCCTGTCATTCCGCCTATAGTCTGCTCCTTCATTTGGACTGTCTATTACCAAAAAATCCTCACCCAAGATGTGCTGAAGAAAAAAGGATGGTCTTTCCCGAATCGCTGTGCTTTGTGCGGCTGCTTTGAAGAAACCATAGACCACCTCTTCATTTCCTGCCCTTTCAGTCGCGAGGTCTGGTTTATGATGAAGGCTTTGGTTAGCATCAACATCCCCACCCAGGACATTTCGTCGGTGATTAAGCTGTGGCCGCGAGACTCGTCTCAAAGTTCTTCCAGCTGGTGCTCCAGTGTCTTTTTGCATGCTTTCTGCTGGCGTATATGGCTCGAGCACAACAGAAGAATTTTCAAAGACTTGTCCACTTCGTAGCGCATGGTGTCTTTCTTGATTGCTAGATGTGTCTCGGACTGGCTCTGTGCGGGCAACAAGGCTGATAGAAGTGCCGCTAATTTGTCGCTTCAGATAGTCAGGAATAGGCTGCTTCCTCGGCCGGGTCCGTTTCTGCTGCAAAAGTAATGCTCTGTTGTTTTTTTTTTTTTTTTGCATTTTCGAACTGGTTTCTTTGGTTCTGCTGCTGCAGTTGGTGGCTGCATCCGAGTTTTTCTCCTTTGTTTCTTTTCCTTCTGTTTGTCAGACTTTAATCTCTATTTATTAATACTATTTCATCTTTATAAAAAAAAAAGTTGACAATTTCTTTAGCCACCACGCTGGTGGCTATTTTGTCAACAAACAAAACTACTTGACCGAACTATCAAGTCTATTATTGGCGTTGCCCTTGGAATTAAGTAATCGGTTGTAAACTTTGACCCCCTCTGTTTGCAAGCAGAGCCGGGCAAAAGGTGTGCGGGGAGGATCATTGGTATAGGGCATTCATCTTGATTTATTAGTTAATCTGATCGTATATTGTAAATTGTATTTATAATGTATAATCACGAGTTTAATTATATTAATAATGTTAGTGTTACTCAATATTTCAATATTCTCATGTGTATATACACTAAATATGTATATTAATTCTAAAGCATTGTTGTGTTTCAAAATAATATTTGTATTAAAAAATAATACAAGAAAATCTTAGTACTTTTTTTGAGAATTTAAATCAAAATCTCTAGATTGTAAACAATTCAAATATTCTAAATCTTCGAATAGTTGAATTATTTTTTTAAATTTTGCATTGTTTGGTAACTGCAATATGCCAATATTCAATAAAAAATTCTATTTTTTTTTTATCAAATGACATGTAAATCCTTAACTAAAAGAATTAGAATTACTAAAAATATTGAGAAATTATTGATGAATGTATTATTGAGATAAATAAAAAGAAGAGATAATATAGGAGAAAAATCTTACAAATCAATATATATATATATAATCTCCATAATTGTCAGAAATTTCATAACTCTAGATTTTAGAGATTTGAAACCTCTGGTACTAAAATTCGTATTACAAAAAACAACAAAAAAATATAACTTTTTGTAGAATTTATGAATTCGATGTATGTATAATGCAAATCATTTTCTCCAAACGGGCTCTTTTATGGGTCATTCCACCTCTACACTAGCTACGCTGAATACTTTTTACTATAACAAAGATGTTACATTTCAAATAATAACGATATAATCATTTTCATTTTATTATAATTAAAAATAAAAATCAATTTGAACCATATCTTTGAAATAAACAAGTGTCTCCACCATCTATTGGACGGCCCTATCTACAAGGTCCATCTTTCATAATTTACACGTATTGACCGGACCAGGGGAAAAAAATACAAACGACAAAGAGAAGGAAAATAAAAAAAAAATACAAAAATACAAAAAAGGGGAAAAGAAGGAAAAGGACATTGCAAGAAAGACTTCGATCGAGAATCTCAGTAATGGAAGACATAGACGTTGTACTCCACCACCGCATCACCGGTATTCACATCCCTCTCCTGAGTCGTCGCCTGAGCGTATCCACGGGCGAACCGGAGCAGCCCGCTGCCGCCGACGATCGGCATCTCCCTGACCCCGGACAAGACGCCGTTCCGCCCCAATACGCTGAGATTGCTGCCGTTGTACTTCCCTTCCGTAAATGCGAAGTTGAACAGCATAAGGAAACTGAGCTCTGTCTGTGACGCCGAGGCGTACATCCCCTGAGCCCTACCAATAAGCTTGGAGCTCAATTGGGGGCCCACGGTGAGAGGGTTGTCCATCACCGCCACCAGCCCGAACCCCGTGGTGGATGCGTTGGTGGCAGCGGCCTCGGCGACGCGGACAGCGCTGGGGTTGCTTCCGCTGACGGTGTCGTGGAAGTAGAACCTGAAGTGACTCAATTTCTCCTTCCCTAGTTTCTGCGGGGGCAGAGTTCGGGAGAATGGTTGGCCATCGGGTTTGGCGGCGTGGGCGAGTGAAATGACGAGGGAGAAGGAGAGGAATAGAAAGAGAAGGAACGTTTTGGCAGCCATGAACATGATTCTGATTATGATGCAGAGAGGGTGTGATTTGAAGAAGAGAATGATGGTGGCTTGATATTTATGGTTAGGGAAGGGCCAATGCATGTGCGGCCATGTTGACCTTTTTTTTTCTAGAACGGCGGCGTTGACTTTACCGTAATATTGGACATGGAGCATAAAACGTTTTGGTCAATTGGTCTAACAGCATTCAAATAATACAATTACGAAATTAATTGTATATCCAAATTTTTATGCAATTTAACTTAATTCTATTTTATGGTATCTATATTAAAATTCTAAGTTTAATTTTAATCATCATTAAATTAAAATTCTTAATTTTTTTTCTTTTCCTTATCTATATTATAGGCTTAATTGCAAGTTTGGTCACCCGAATTGCTTAAAAATTTCACGTTTGCCACCCGAATTGATTTATTCCATTTATAGTCACTCGAATTAGTTGAACAGTCCAAGTTCGGTCACTCTCTGTTAACCTCCGTTAGACTCCGTTAATGACGACCGTTAAGTGATGACGTGGCTAATAGAAAGACACAGTCAACGCATTTAAACATTAAAAAACGACGACCCGACCCGCCAGCTCACCCTTACCCGTCCAGTCAGCCATTCTTGCCCAAACCCGCGAACCAACCCAATTAATTGACCCTAAACCCAAACCCGAGACCTAACCCCCCCTGAATTGTAAATCACAGACGACAACAACTCGTTCTCATACCGCCGTGGTGGCATCGGCGGGCACGGCGGAGCAGGAGCAGGACCCGGATAAACGACCCGAGCGGATTCAGGGGACGTCTTGCTCTTATTCCGCGGGGACAAACTCGCGGGAGGAGAAATGCTAACCGACTGAGACCTCGCCGGAGATCCAGACGACGAATCGGAAGAACAAGAAATCGAATCAGTAGTTTCCCCTTCTCCAAAATCCGGACCCGGACCACCCATATCCCGAAACATCCTATTCGACCCGGATCCGGCCCCGACCGAACTATCCCTCCCTCCGCCGCCCAACAACCCTCTGGGAGAATAAAACTCCTCTTCCTCATCATCCTCAGGGGACCCAAAACCATCTGGATTCTGCCGATTCAGCGGCCGGAGCGGCCGGAGCTCCGGCGAATCCATCTTCCCCACGACCGGAGACTCAACGGCAGCAGCAGGATTCGACCCGCCACCATCCCCAATTCCATGGGAATTCACAAGCGTCCCGAGATACAGAAACTCCGAGCTGGTATTCGTGGGGCGGAGCTTGTGCCTAGATCCGGAGCCCCGATCTGGATTCACGGCATAGAACCGGCTGCTGCTGTGGCGGTCGGATGAGGCATGGGTTTTGGCATCGTGACCGGGTGGTGGTTCGTTGGCACTCCTCTGGCGGCGGCAGAAGTAGAAGGCAAGAACGGCGGAGACGATAACAGCGACGGCGAGGAAGGAGAGGGAGAGAGCGAGTAGCTTGTGGGAGGAAGAAGGGGGTTTTGAAGAAGGGGATTCAGAGAGGATCAGTGACGAGATGTTGGTCGGGAAGGAAGCGAACGTGGAGGGGGACGGCGGTGGAGGCGGGGAAGGGTAGGTCGGGAAGAATGGGAAGGCGGGATTTGTGGCGGTTGGGGTTCCGGTGTTGGAGAAAGGGAGTTTCGCCGGCGGCGTAGGGGGAGGCGGTGGTGGGGGGAGGGATGAAGGGGATGGTGCGGGTGGGAGGGTGTCGAGCGGGAAGAAGGGTTGGTGGAGAATGCGGCGGACGGGGAAAGCGGTGGACCGGCGGTGGGGGAGGCAGAGGAATAGGAAGAAGAAGACGAAGGAGGAAGAAATGGGCATTGTGTGAGAACGTGAAAAAGATTCCGCCTTTGCTCTCTCTGTTTCTTCCTCTCGGAGCTCGGATGAGAGCTGAGTGAAAAGGGAAAGGGGGAAAAGGGAGAGAAGGGAAATGCCCTAATCCATCTGCGATTTACAATTCACGCGGGGGGGGGGGGGGGGGGGGGAGGGGGGGTTTGGGTCTCGGGTTTGGGTTTGGGTTTAGGGTCAATTAATTGGGTTGGTTCGGGGGGCAAGAATGGCTGACTGGGCGGGTAAAGGTGAGCTGGCGGGTCGGGTCGTCGTTTTTTAATGTTTAAATGTGCTGACTGTGTCTTTCTGTTAGCCACGTCATCACTTAACGGTCGTCATTAACGGAGTCTAACGGAGGTTAACGGAGAGTGACCGAACTTGGACTGTTCAACTAATTCGAGTGACTATAAATGGAATAAATCAATTCGGGTGGCAAACGTGAAATTTTTAAGCAATTCGAGTGACCAAACTTGCAATTAAGCCCTATATTATAACTTTATAACCTAGAATCGTAACTTAGTTATGCATTTCTAAGTATAAGTTTATACGTATGTGATTATTAGATATATGTTTACTCATAAGTTTATTACTGGATGCTTCTAAATTTGCAAAAACAAGCAAGGTTCTAGGGTTGAAGCTTCGTTTGTCCTCCCACATTCATGTTTGACCATGAAAATTTTAGAAAGCAAACTACCTATGACTAAGTCAACCACAAGGATAATTATAAAAAAAATGTTGGCTATTCATATTTGACGACCATGATATACCACCAACAACTATTTATCATCTGTTCAAAAAAAAAAAAAACAACTATTTATTATTTCAAAACAATCATCAAGGCTAGCTACAATGATGTATGATTTTGGATTATTATCTACATTTAAGTTAATTCATTCCAATTTTATCACGATTCACTATCTTTTACTTCATTGAGGACAAAGTCTATTATAAAGTATGTGCAAATGGTCTATATGTTTTACTTTGAATATGCTTATTACGTGCTATATCTTTGGTCGATAAAAATTTGAAAAATTTGACAATTATTCAATGCTAAAATGGTTGTGATATGTGATAAAAAGTTTTTTAAAAGAGCTAAAGAGGTATTTCATTTAATGACTTTTCTCATCCACTACAAGTATGAGCACTTCTCATCTTACTTTGAATCATTAAGTCTAGTTATTATCACTTGATCTAGGGAGGCTAGTGTAGTGACTATAAAGGATGTGATAGTTAATGAGATGAAATGATCATTTGATGTATTTGAATATTCTATTGTGCGATCTATGCAAAAGATTTTTGTTTATGCAAAAAGAGCCTCCTGTTTTAATTTTTTCAAAAGGGTAAACCCAACGTATGAGGCATCTTTTCATTGCACTAAAATCGGATTTGGAAGAGATACTAGTTGAGCTTTGTGGGATAGTCCTACAAGGTAATGCTTGTTCCTCTATAGTACAAGTAAAATTTTAACCCGTTGAATTGATTGATAACTTGAGGATGTGTTCTTAAGGGCACAAATAGAGCTCACGACACCCCATAATTTCAATGAACCTACGCATGAGTTGAGGTTAAGGAACTTTCAAGTTATTGCTCGACCAATAAAGGTAAAGTTCAAAAGAGCTCTCCACCATGAGAAAAATCAAGAAAAGAAAAACAAGTTGGTTGAAAGAGGAAGAAAATAAAAAAAATCATAAAAAAGTATGAGTTTCAATAAGGCAAAGTCCTTTAAAGCATGTCAAGTTGATGGTAGAAAGCATTCAAAACTTCAATGTTTATCAAATGTTTCACCCTTACATTTTGAGACCCTGATGCATTATTTGGTTGTTGATTCATATATTATATGGTATGATATCCTAGTATGTTGATGTGGCTGGGAGTCTCTCGTGCTAATGTTGAACTTGTAAGTTGCTTATGATCTACTATCTAAGATCAAGGTTGAGTGATGATGGTTAGGGTTCATTCATTTGTAAGATTAAGGTTGACCAGTGTTTGCTTGGGGACAAACAAAGTTCAAGTGTGGGGTATTTCTGATGACACTTTATTTATACTGTTTGTCCCTCTCATTCTTGATACATTTTCCTCTTATAGCAATGCACCTTTAGTCATTTCAATGATATTTCTTGTCTAAATCACAACTATTTGATTAATGAGCTGTTAATAGACCTTAAAATGTTCTTGTACTGTGCCTTCTTTGGTATACTTTTATGGTTTTGAAGCTACAAAGCAACCTAAGGAAGATTCGATCAAGCATTGAAGAACCCTATAGGACCAAATAAGATATAAAGAGAGGTTTAAGGAGTTTTCACGAGAAAGAAATGGTCCAATGATGGGAAGTCAACTGGAAGTTGCTATATTATATCAAGACGAGCACATAGGAGGAAGAATCAGCCCAATATGAAGAAAGAATGAGCGGCGGCCCAAGCCATGGGTGGTCCAACCTTTGCTCTATCAGGTGTAGTCAAATCTTCAAGAAAAAATGTCCATGGACAAGGAAGCCCATCCCATGAAGAAACATAGCGACGGTTCCAACTGTCGCCCTACTGGCGCATTTCCTTTGCCTTGTTTACATAGTTTCCTAAGTCTAATCGGTTTAGGTGACTCTTTTTTAGTCGGTTTAGGTTGTTATAGGCCAGATTCTCTCCTATAAATAGAGGGCATGACTCATTAGAAGAGTAAGGTTTCACAAACACACAAAATCTCTGTAACACTCTACATGAGTGATGGCCTAGTCGAAGTAGGAGGCTTGCAGCTAAGGAGATATTGTCATCATCACTGGTGGTACCATCATTCTCCTCTATGTAGCTAGTCCAAATTGATTGTACTAGGATGTGATTTTGTTTGTTTTTATGTGAATAAATGCTATGATTTCATCTCATGCTTGTGTTTATCTGTGAGGTTTTCGATGCCTATGATTATGTATGAATGCTTCTAGTATTCGATCCATATGATGGCCATTGATGTTTCAGTATTATGAATGCTCTTGTATCATTGATGCTTATGATTCTATTGTATGTTACTATATGCATTGTGCTTATTATTACCTAGGTTGTCAAGAAATTACCATCTAGGGATACCCCATTGATGCTACTCGAGTATGGGTGGCTTGCTTAACCATTTATGCTTCGAGTAATATCAATGTTTGATTGTTAGATTATCGATATTATAGACTATAGTTATGGTTTGTATAATCCCATAATTAACTATATGCTATAAATTCATTGTTCTTCATTGATTAGGTATGAAATAAGCAAAAGCACGCATTAGCTAGTTAAATCTCACTAAAAATGAGTTCTAACGAGCATAATTTGGCCGAGGGGATCCATTCCCATCGTTACAAGTAACCTATCAATGACCGTCTTAAATTCCCATCATTATTGGGCCAAAAAAGTATGAATGCCCCTTGTTATTTGTTATGGCGCCATTTTTTTTGGGTTGAAACTTGAAAGTTGAAACTTTCGAGACCGCCAATTTATTTGGGCGAACAGGATGTGGGGGCGTGATGGTGTTATACATGTTTCTAATACTATTCGAGGGAGGTCCCTGGCATTACTATAATGTTCCTTTGTTTCTTCGTCGTTGGACTCCGGGTATTAATCCCCTTGATATGCAGCTGGGTTTGCTTCCTATATGGGTTCAGATTAGAGGAATTCCCCTTGAGTATCATACTTTTGAGGGCCTCAGTCGTATTGCAAGTGTGATTGGAGCGCCTCTATGGATGGATCAAGCAACTAAGCTTGGGGCCCAAATTGGAGGTGCCAAGGTCTGAGTAGAAATGAGGGTTGGTGCAGGTTTTTAGGAGGCGATTAAAAGTTGGCCTGGGGTGACACTGATTTTGATCTCTCGATGTAATATCTAAGGGTACCAAGAAGGTGCTCACAATGTTAGTTGTTTGGGAATTCCATAGGCAATGGGGCTGAATGCAAGGTAATTGAGGAAGGTGATGTTGCCTGGGCTACTACGCAATTTTCATTTCCAGCTGTTGAGGAGGTGAAATCTGCTCCATCTTCTCCAGTGACTGTTGTTCTTAATGCTAGGAATGACTCTGGCTCACCTGGTGGGTTCTTGGTTATTTCAGAAGGATCTATAGGGGGTAGAGGTGGCAAATGGATTGATCCATGGATTGGTGGATTGGATTGGTGGATCCATGGATCAAATGGATTGGTGGATTCATGGATTAGATCAAGTGGATTGGTGGATTATTCATGAATCCAAATGACATCCTCAACCAAGGACCAATATGTAAAATGTGAAAAGTTTAGGTACTAAAATGTCATAATGAAAAATTTTAGGTACCAAAACGTAATTTTCCACTGATATTTTTCGTATAAAAAATTAAATTTTGGGTACCAAAATGTAAAATATAAAAAGTATTAAGTACCAAACCGTAATTTGCCATTTGGATCCGTGGATCAATCCATGAATCCACCAATCCAATTGGATTTGGATCAAATGGATTGGATTTAAATGGATTGGATTAGGTGGATATTTTTAATGGATTGATGGATTGGATTGGTGGATTGGATTGAGAATTTCCACCTCTAATAGGGGGTTTACACATCATTATGCCCCAAGTGAAGACTGGTGTTAAGATTGGAGTGAAGGCTCTTGCCAAGAAGGGTAGGGGCAGGGGTAAACGTCGATGAACATCTTAAGCTGGAACATCAGGGGATTTAATACCACTAACAAGCATATGTATGTATAATATTGTATATAGTAGATTAAATAAATGTCAAGTTGTTGAAGTATTAGAAACTAGGGTTCAAAAAAATAATCATAATAAAATAACAGAGGGTGTTTTTGGTTCTTGGTTACATCTTAATAATTACAAGAAGTCTAATCTGGTAAAGTTTGGTTGTTTTGGCGTAATGGGGTATAGATTACCGAGGTGGACATGGGAGAACACCCTTACATGCTTATGTGAATTGTGGGGATGAACATTTCGTGATGACTGCGATTTACAACCCTAATAAGGTGCAGGATAGGGTACAACTCTATCATGAACTGAAGTGGGTCAAAACAGATGGTGATCCTTGGATTGCGGTGGGGGATTTTAATGAAATTGCAGAGTTGAATGAGACTTCCAATATGGTTGTGGTTAACCAGGACATGGATTGAAGGAATGAGATTAGTTGATCATTTGTGGTATACGTGATGGAATAAGCAGGAAGATAACCCCATTACCAGACGAATAGATAAAGTTTTGGTTAATGAACCGTGACTTGATTTCTTCAAATTCAGTGCTGCTAGAAGTCTCTCACCTGCAGTTTCTGATCATTTTGGGATACTCATATCAGCTTGTCCATCGGAACAATTTCTCACAAAGCCGTTCAAGTATTTCATATTCTATAAAGCTCACCCATTGTATCGGGGGATTTTGGAAGAGGCTTGGTTTATCACTAGATCATCTCATCCAATACAAGGGTTGTTTAAAAAGCTTACATATCTAAAGAAGGGACTTCGTGCCCTGAATAGTTCTGAGTACTCTGATATAACCCAAAGCACAAGAGAAGCAAAAAATCAGATTGAGTACTCTGATATAACCCAAAGGACGAGAGGGCGCGGGGCACGACACTAGCCAAGCAGGAATTCCCCGACCAGATCAAACAAATCCCCAAGCGGGGAAAATAGAAGAAGGTCGGGGAAATGAAGTAGAGGGGGACATGATCCGTGCTCGTAGTTTGATAACTACGGGTACATGATCCATGCTCGTATAAGAAAGCTATTGATGAATAACAGATACCCTAACACCCTAATTGTAAGAAGTTGGAAATATCACACCTCTGTTTCGCCGATGATTTACTTGTGTTTACTAATGGTCCTGTTTGTGGTGTTGCTGGAATCACTAGGCTGCTTGATAAATTATTTTCTGTATCTGGTCTTAAGTTCAATCTATCCAAAAGTCAGCTTTACTGTGGGGGAATTTCTGACTCTGAAATGCAGTTTATATCCGTTTCAACTGGTTTCCCATTGGGATCACTGCTTGTTCACTATGAGTTCCCTTAATATCAGGTTAATTGAAAAAAAAAACGGATTGTCAAATCTTAATGGATCGTATCACAAAGAGATTACGTAATTGGGGTGCAAAATTCTTAAGCTATGCTGGTAAAGTTCTGCTGATACCTTCAATGATATCCGGTATCATGCAATACTGGATGCAGATTTTTCTTCTTACACAACAAGTTTTAAGTGAAATTTAAGAGTTATGTAACAAGTTTCTTTAGGGGGTTGGAGAATTTGGGAAAAGATTGAGGGATGCCATAGCATGGAAGTATGTCGTGATGCCAAAGGAGGAGGGGGGCTTAGGGATCAAAGATTTTAAGTCTTAGAATCAGGCTTGTATTATGCGGCATATTTGGAATGTTTTAGCACAACAGGGGTCTATTTGGATCGCATGGATTAAGAGATGTCGCTTACCCTCTGTTTTTTAAGAAGAGAAAGGGAGGGGAAGGGAAGGGAGAGAGAGAAATTCCAGAACCCAATAAGTTTTTCCCTGTTCTCCAAACTTGCTATAGGACCGGAGGGAAGGAATCTGCGCAGAAAATGTACTGTTTTACCTGACCCTCCAATTTGGGAGGAAAGCCATCTTCTCAAGCATTTTCCTATTTTTTATTTTTTTCTTGCGTTTTGTTTTGCTTTCCACTACGTTGGATGGGTAAACGATTTATTGAATTTTATTTTATGGTCACAAATTATAAGATTATCTAATATAATTTATTATTTTATCAATTGTATGGTTAATTAACGAATAAAACATTATTATAAACTAATACCCTTTTTCTCGTGCGTTGCCTATTTTCCTTTTTCGTTTAAGTTGTATTTGTGTAGGGATGTGTGATAGCAGTGAAATAAATGACAAAAATTGTTAATTTATATTTTATCAGCACATATATTGCATTTAACGTGGAGAAATATTAGGAGATGTGATAATTACTAATTCATTGTTTTTAGGGTTGAAGAGATAATCTTCGACTAATTTTGGAGGACGATAATTAAATTAGTGAAGTCCGTGTGTATTATTTTAGATTGCTTATTTAACTACGTAAACTTCTAACATGATATTATGTACACTACCGACTTAGATGACAGTAGACGATTTTTACTGTCCAACTGGCGATACACGAAAGAACAATATTTATGGCTAACTATGATGCTAGACAATTCTACTCTTATTTGTATGATATCTTTTTGTATCATTATATAATGGTGACAAATGTTTTTCTCACCGGATCATGGTCAAAACATCTATTTTTGTATTTTAATAATGAACAAAATTAACAAGGAATAATGTATTTGATCCAATTACGTGGAACATAAATGTGTGTTAAGTTTCAAGTATAACGACATCAGAGTGTTACATTTTTTAAAGAATGGACGTTATCTTGTACTACAAAAGTAATCAAATTTGTATGAAAAATAAAAGAGAGTTAAACGAAAAGTGGTTGTGAATGAAAAAGGGGATGAGATTCTACAAATTAGAATTGAGACTTGAGTCTCGTTGGGGAGAGTTGTGAGAGTGGTTGAATGGGCTGCTAACACGTATTGAGAAGTCGGTTGAATCCACAATTTGGTACGATAAACCACGGTCTACACCAAATCAGATTAAACATCATTTTATGCAGACCATTGACCAAATCAGATCAGACCAAACCATTATTAACAGTCTACCAGAACCGAAATGTACAGTCAAATTTGATTCTCTCATACATGACCTATAAATTTTCGTGCAATCCCCTGGCCATAACCCCACTATGGGAATGATATCTGAATGAATGATCTGAAACCCAATTGACTATGGGCCTAGTACACAGGCCGAGCCCAAGGTGCCGATTCCAATCACGAGCATACGTGGGCAGCGTCGGCGGCGCGCAAGTCGCCAAGTATCTATTTTCCCATTTTCCCGTCACTGCACCCAAAAACCCAAAGCAAAGCCGAGCAGACAGTAGCACCCAAAGAAAGCGTCGCCGCTGCCGGTGCAGGAGATGGGGACTCGGGAGGTTTACGAGGAGAAACTACGGAACGGGAATTTACATCACGATCCCACCATCAACCCTGGTCTCGGCACTCCTCGCTGCCCTCGCTGCCTCTCCCTCCTTGACGCGGATTCCGATAAGGGTGAATGGACTATAACTTCCGTTTTGCACGACGCCACCGCCGTGGTTAGTTTCTCCAATCTTCCCTCATTCCCTGTCGATTAGCTCTATGAACTGCTTGGCACCGGTGTTGGAAAAGGATGAGTAGTTCTATTCTTGATTTGGTTAATTATGTGGAGTTATCGACCTGAATTAGTGTCCACTCTGGTGAATTCAGCTAGGTTCGAATTGTTTGATCGCTTGTTGGTGATTCCTGGAATGAGTTTCTGATAATGAATCAGACTAAGTTTTGTAGCTAGGTTCGCTTATAAATCGCTAATTGATCGAATTCTCGTTGCAGTTGCAATTGTAATCGTCAATCGTCATAGTTGTGTTTTCCCCTGTCCCTGACAATTGAGAGGGTTTGCGGATTAGATTGTAATCTTCTTGATTAATAGAACGTGGTAGTTACTTTTCTGGTAGGTGTCACTGATTAGAGTTGTGCTTTACTGTTAAATTAGGCTGGTTCTGGCATTGGTGCGATGCTTAGTGCAGTCCATGGTTTTAATACAGGTAAGCTGAGTTTGGTTCTGTTTATTTCAGCTGGTTTTGTTTCTTTATCTTTGGGCCTCTCTGTTAACTGCCGTGCTATTTCAGGTATCCCATTCCTCCAGAATCGTCTGAACGGACCCAAGTGGCTTCCGTTCATAGTTGGGGTTGGTGTTTTATCCTAATCCTTGAATTCTTTGCAATTCTCTTTCCTTTTGGTGGCATACAAGCAGGTTCTGCCTTGCATTTGCAATTGAACTTTGCCAACATCATCATTTTCTGATCTGGAGTTTACTCTTTGCTTTACTTGCAGGTTCCTCCACTGCTAATGTACTCTGGTGCATCTGCTGCTTTTGGAGGTACGCGATCAAACCTCTTTAAGTTTTCATTGTTTATGTAGTCATCCCTTACTTTGACCCTACAAGCATCTATATCCGACCTCAACTACTAAGAACCCTTTTGGGTATGGCCGTCAATTGGGAAGTTCTCCTAGTTTCTTATTGTGTCTAGGCACAACCATCAACCAAAACTACGTGCACATCTGCTCTCCTATTTTCTTGCAGATTTCTATTCTTGGTGTGCTCAATCCGCTAGGATGCCATTTCATCCTCCATATAGACAATTTTTACCCCATTTTATGTGTTTAGACTGGAGAGAGGAGGGCTGGGGTATGGTGATTGCTTGAAGGATGGCAGGTTGCTCTGATAGTAGCATCAGTTATTGTAGCCGGATTTTGTAATATCATATTTAGTTTTGGATCCTTGTATGCCATGTAGTACTCCCTTGCATAGGTTTATTGAAACGATAGGTTTTCTTCAGTCACCTGTGTGTATTATTTATCTTGTGTGACATTGAATGATCCCAACTTTCATGGTCAGTCTGATTCCATTATTAGCTGTAGTTTTTGGACCCATCAAAATATCGCATGTTTGCAATGAGCATCCCTTGGGTTGGGGATCATGCAGCTTAATTGCAAGGACCACTTTTGATGACGATCCCCCCCCCTCCCTCCTCCTCCAAATTGGAATGCTTCTGCGTTAAAGGTTGCAGAAATCTTTTCATTTTTGAGACTCAGCTGTAACAAGGCGTTCACAGATCATCCTACATATTCTTCTGCCAGTTTGGTTTAATGTTGCTTCAATTTTTTTTTTGGTAGGAGTGGCTTCAATTTTTGATAATGTAGGAATGTAGGAGTATTATCTTGACTGATGTGCATTGTTAAACTTTATGTGCAAATATTTTGATATTTGGATTCGTGGAGGACCTTTATTTATTTACGGACTTACTTTGTAGGCTACGTGCTTCCTAAGTTCACTCAACTCACAGTGACATCTTACTACGCTGCATCAAGTGCCTCACATTATGGGATTTCACTGCTCACACGGAAAATTGAGGAGGGCCATATTTCAAGAGTTGAGCAAGAAAAGTGCAGATGATTTCTGGATTCTTCAGTTTTGTAACTAGAGTTGTATGTGTAGGTATAGGTTCATGAACTTCAGGTGGATCCTATCACCTGGATATTTCGTTATCATAAGGAATGTTGTGATTCACATGGCAATTGTTGGCATACTTGCAGTGTTTGGCTCACTTATGCATGTTTTTTTACCTGAAATGCCTATAGTTTTGAGAGGAATGAAAGTTAGCCTATAGCTGATGATAATCAAACTATCTGAACGTTTTAAGATTGGTATTCAATGTTTTGCTTGCAGTTTCTATGCTTTTCCGCCGTGTCACTGGTTAGCAAAGATGAACAAATTGGTAGCGGTACTTGTATAGTGTGATGGAGAATTTGATTTTCTTGAATGAAAGATGGAGCCTTTGATCTCCAAGGTCTTTATTAGCATTGTAATTGCTAACTTGGTGTTCCCTTTCTGGTTAGATGCTCCACAAAAGAAGTTCCTTTGGCTTGTAGGCCCCTACCACTCAATTACTGTGTAGTAGTCAATGCATATGCTCATACAGGCTATGTAAGTATTCATTTTTCTCAGCACTTGTCCCCAGTAGGACAGTTTAAAGTCAGTACCAATGGACGTGTAACATTTTAAGCTTTACTCTGTTAAGTTTGTTCCTCATAGAGTCAATAGTAATGATTCAGTGGAAGCGAGATAGGGGTCAAATATGTCCACGTATTGCTGATTTTAGCTTGGGTCTTGCTGATGATTAAAAATTGGAACTGCCTTGAAACTTCATTATTATTATTTCCCTTATCTAGATTCCATGCTGGATCTTGTTATGTACTTATGTCGACAGAACATCAGGTGGCTGAGACCCTAGAAGAGAAGTGGGTTAGCTGTGACAGTTGATAGTGGGTTGCCAGTCCAATTCAAATGGTGAAAAGAGTTGGCAAAAACTGGATGGGATACAGTAAGGAATCCTCTGCTTTGCTGATATTTATTTGTGCAAGTTGCTAGACAAGATTTATTGAGGGAACCAGAATAAAAACAGCAGAGTAGACATCATAGTGGTAAATGTCCAATGACAAGCATTGATCTGGCCACATGGTGTGTAACTATATAGGTTGAGTCTGGTTGCATTTATGTGCATAGCAGAATGATTTTTTAATCCTTCCACACTAGTTCAAGCCACCAAGCCAGCCAATAGAGTACCTAGTAGTAAAGGAATTAGAGAAATAGGCGAAGTCAGAAGGCCTTCCTTTCTGCTGGCTGGTTGAGAAGGCTTTGCTTTTTGTTCCAGATTTGGAGCCTAGCTGATACAGCAACAAGCTACTAGGTGCAGGTTAGCAAAAGTAGGGTTGAGCAGCTACTGTATAAACTGTCAACCTCGTTGAGCAACTTTATAGGGTCGTGGGCCGCTGTCTCTTAAATCCCACTGCTCTTTCATTTTCTCTTATGTTAAAGAGTATACATATGTACATATGTAATGTAGCTGCAGGCCAAAGCTGTAGAGAGACCACCGATGAAGGGGGAAAATGAGAGATACAAACAACTGATGAAAGTGGATGTGGTCCTAGAATTATACATAATGGTAATGTACTCTTTTTGCCCACTTTCTATTCCTTCTTCATCTCTCTAAACTCTTTTATTTTGTCTCTTTATAGCATCTTCCTCCCATCACATGCCTCTCTATCTCGCTTTCCTTTCTCTTGTTGAGATATGGCATTTTACCTGTGGACCCCTAGATTGTTGGGATGGAGGTGTGGGGCAGGTTGATTGATGTTAACTGAGCTTCTTTCATCATTTTCCTTCTGGGGGTGCCCTTAGTTTTGAGGTCAGTCCATTTCAGTTTTTACTGAAGTTTGCAACTGGGTTGTCTTTGAGAGGGATATCAATGTCTGTTTGTGAAGGTTTTTTGTAGGTGGTGGGTGGTGCCAAACTCCCTCCAATTTTGTTTAATAGGGGAAAAGCAAAACTCTGGGTGTGGCTAGTAGGAATTTTAAGTGGGGTGGATTTTTTTTTGGTTAGAAGTTGTCTCTATACCAATGTCCCATAAAAAGCATTCACACCACCATCATCATCATCATCGATGTCTGTACAAAAATCTTCATAAATGCTTTATTCTTATTATTGCCCTTTTGATGCTTGCAACCACACAATGAAAGAAAGGCGGGTGGGGGATGGTTGTAACTTGTAAGCTACTTCTTTTACCGTTCCCCTTAACTATTGGGAGTCCTGCTATTTCCAGACTTAGCAATTTACTGTCACTCCTTTTTATCATCACATATATGCATATCTCTTTTCTTTTTAACTCCCCTCTGTTTTCAGACTTTTTGGCACTCAGTTCTATCATGCACTTAAGCTCTCTGTGTGGGTAAAGGTTTCAGAATAGTGACAGTGCAATAGGGGCTCGTAAATTTCTTGGTACTTTGTGCAACAGTTATAGATTGGGCGGATAGATACATACACCGCTTATACGTGGAAACAGACTGACCACCTCCCCTTCCCCCCTTTAGCTTTTCTCTCTCTTTCTCCTTTTTATGGCATGTCTAGGCACAATCACTGGAACAAGAGTTTTCTCAATCTAGTTTGACAACAAACTTCCCTCCTCCCATCCACTTTGATCATCAATATATATATTAATGGATCATTGCTTGCCATGAGGGTATGATTGTGACTGCATTTTACATGGCTGGTTTGATCAAATCACCACATTATTTATGAAGACAAGGAATTTCTTTAGATGGGATCTTTATAGGGGTTACTGTGAATGGAAATGCGGTGGTTTAAAATTCCATTCCAACAAACTGTTCGCTGATAGATAATTTGTCTGCATTTAATGAAGTTTAGCTGGCTGTCCACATTTTGCAACCCCTCCCTTGTCTTTTAGCTTCATTAATGATCAATCTCTTGTGTTTTATTACTTTGGTTTGTTTGAATTAACTCATACGTAGACTTGGATGGCATAGCCTTGCTGTCAGTATTGTGATTTAGCTAATTATATTGCGTTGGAGTGGTTAACAAGTTAGATTAGTTAAACTTACCATCTCTGTCTGCTTGGTACACATTTTGAGGAATTTGTTTAGGAAACGGAGTTTACTCGAAATGCTCAGAGAAGTAGCTTTAACTTGGAAAAGAACACCAACCTCAGCTCACTCTTTGCAGCCTGCTTCTAAGTCAGGTACGATGGTGAAGCCGTGAAGCTAAAGCTCTTGTTGTTCTTTTGTGCTCTACTTTGGATGCCACTAGGTGAAGTCTGTTGCAAAAACGTTTTTGAGAAAAACAATTAATAATGGAACTACCATGGTTCCTGCAACAGACAAGTTCACTGATATTAACAGAGATTTAACTGCTCTCTTTAGTCTTTACCATGAGTGATCTAATGGTATTTTTTTTTATCATCTATCAGATTATGTGCTTTGAATATTTGTCGTCATGATTGAGCTGGCGATTAGGTTTGTCCTAGTTTCGACGAATGAATTCGAACTTATAACTTCTTTTAAACAAATCCAACACCTTAACTAGCAGAGCTACAACTTTGTTGCCTGTTGGTTTATATTTGTTTGTACTTCATTGAATACTTGTCTTGTTACTGGATGTAGTTACAAGAGAAGAGTTAAAAATGTAGCCTTTCCAATCCGATTCTTCTCCATAGTAAGCTCAAACCCTTTTGGTCCGTCTACTTGTTCTTCCTTTTATCACTGCCCTTTGATGATCTCTTTCTTTCTTATTCACCCATCTCTATCTTGTACAGCTAATTTACACTGAGAAGTAACCCCACCCAACTATCAGCTGCTGCTCATCTCTCTCCATCGCAAACATAAAAGCCACAGTACAGCTGAGACCTTACAGTTTCTACCCAAGACATGAAAATTTGAAGCCATAAAAAAAGAAGAAGATCAGAGTACTTGAAAGTTGAAAGTGAAATCAATAGGAATTGGGTCAGTGGGACTGTGTAAATTTAACTATCCCTTGTTTTGTTGGTTGTATGTTACTTTAAGAGCCATGGCCTCACGGTAGGACACATCTTTTCCATGCAGGGTCAGGACATCGGTTGGTTTTGCTATTTATGTAACCCATCATTGCATGCTTCTCCCAGGGAAAAAAAAAAAAAAACACACACGAAAGAAAAATAATCTATTATAATATGTAAGCGTTAATTCTCATTTTATTGATTAAGTTTAACTATGATAGTATTTAAATTTGTGCTTAACCTAACAAGTTCAGCGCAGGTTTTTGTTAATGTGGTTTGATTCTAAATTCTAATGCAATGACACAATTAAGAAACGGTAAAATCGAGGTTGGACTGATTCGAATTGCTTCTTTATTTAGGCAGTTGGAATTGTTTGTCCCTTTTTCAACAGAGCAATTCGAACTACCTCAGCTCCAATTGCTATATCTGATTTGTGTATTAGCCAAATGGTGCATTTTGGTCTAATTGCCCACTTTTGTGACAATGGAATCAAATTGTTTCATCGAATTGCTCTATTCAAAATACGGATTTTTGGGTTCATTACATTCATTTCACATTTTTTTACTTATTATTACACTTGACGAGTTGGAGTAAGTTCTGAACGAGTGTGTGGAAATTCAGGGGTTGTGACAAGTGAGTCAGACAATAAGCATTGTTTATCTGGAACCTAAACTCTAAGACTAAGAATGTGTGTTGGCCTTGACGTTTAATGTTTTCATTTTTCCCATGTATATTGTTTGGTTTTTTTTTCCTTATTGAAGGAGGTTCAGCTTATGCTTGTTCGATGACTTCTCTTGCTCGCTTTCTGTAAAAGTCAATGTTTCAGTCTTTCAGGTTGAATCGTTGTAAGTGCTTCAAAATTTTAATAGTACATGAACATATCATTCATGGAAAGGAATCTTAGTGCATGGATGAAGCAAGAATCCATCTGGTGACGGACCACATGATTAATAATACACAGTTGGTGGATTCATAATGTTGCACAAAGACATGACCATGTTGAATATTTAGACAGTGTTGTTAAGCTGGAAAATTGGACAAAAAATATTCATTAATTGATGACACTCTG